TCGCCCCCAGGCAAAGAATGGAACATGTGGGAAATGTGATAGTTGTTTTGTTCCTTGTTTTGCCGATCGGCGCGGGCACTCGCACCCCCCCCTCTCCCCCCCTACGGAGTAGATCTTGGCTGTTTTTGGCGCCTGTTTCGAGCAGGTGGGGCCCCTCCCGCACTGGCCGCACCGCTGCAAACAGTCGCACTAAGCAGAGGTCCGGAGCCAGATCCCCCCCCCCTCCACCCCCCCTTCCGCCCAATGCTGCAACGCCGAATGAAAAAACGCTCATAATCCTGTTCTCTATGCGAATCTCTTTGTGTCCCTGGGCCCACTTCTGCCCGTGCGCGCAGAGGGCGCGCCCCCGGCGCGCACAGGGCGTCGCCCACTGCGGAGTCGGGCGGGCCTGCCACTCTACAGGCAGTTTGGGCGGAGAATTAAACATTTAAAAAAGAAAGAACAACAAAAATCTAATTTCAAACAAATGCTCCGAAACATCGTCCCGAGATTTTTTTTTTTTTGGGCGGAATATTCCTCCTGTAGTGGGGCAGGCCCGACCGAACCCTACGGTGTCGGGCGGGGCCAGGGCGAGGATGAATCCGTTCCAGAGCACCCTCAGAGCGCTCCTGAACGCTCTGCGAAGGCCGCGGCGCTCGACACATGCTCCAGTCGGGCCGGAAAAAAAGGGGGGATTGGGAAAGGGGGGGTTACGAAATTTGCTGCATGCAGCTGGTTTCGGCCTCACCGAGGGGCCCATTCCTCGATACGTAGCCGCCTCCGGCGCCGGGAGGCGCCAGGAAAATCAGCTACGTGAGCTGATTCTCAAACCACCCCTTTGCTATCCCCCCCTTTCGCCGGACCCGATCCAGAGCCTCAGCATCTCGGAGATTTTCGGTTTGCTCACGCCCGGATTTATCCTCGTCCTGGCTTCGTGCAGCCTTCTGCGCGCCGACCCGTGCGGCACCCGCGGCGCGAGCAGCAGCAGCGGGGAGGGCGACGGCGACGAACCTTCAGTCGGGCACGTCCCTCTACAGGAGGAATCTTGAAGAATGGTCAAACAAATAGTCTGGGGACGATGCTTTGGAGCATTTGTTTGGCTAATGTAGGGTTTCTTTTGAATTTTTGAATTTTTGTTCAAGTCTTGGCCCAATATCCGCTTGTAGGGGGACATGCCCGACCTCAGACGAGGGGGACATGCCCGACCTCAGACGAGCCCCGTGGCGCAGAGGGCGCGCCCCCCGCCCGGGGCGCGCGCAGGGCGTCGCCCCGCTGGCGGCGGCCGCGGCGGCGGGCACCAGCGGCGTGGCCGCCAGGCTGCTGGCCTTCGGCGAGCCGCTGGACAGGCGGGGCGACGACGCCGACGGCGCCGACGACGACGACGACGCCGACGCCGGCGACGACGACGGCGACGGCGACGCCGACGGCGACGCCGACACCGACGCCGACGACGCCGACGACGACGGCGACGCCGACACGGACGACGACGACGACGACGCCGACGGCGACGCCGACGCCGATGTCGACGACGACGACGACGACGAGGACGACGACGACGACGACGACGACGACGACGCCGCCGCCGCCGCCGCCGCCGACGACGACGACGACGACGACGGGCGCCGACGCCGAGTCCAGGCCTTCTAGACGGCCTCCTAGATCGCAGGCGAGTTGTCCTCCCGCACCCTGACTTTTCGATGAAACATGAAGCCGCTCAGAAAAGGAGGGGAACCCTGGGATATACCCCGAGGGGGGCATTCGGACGCACACTTGTCGAGGATAGACGCCGCACATCGTATATCCCGGGGTTGGGCCAAAAATCTCTGGTCCACTCGAAAGCCTCCCAAAGCCTGGGATGGGGTCCGAGTAGATGGAGTTGGGGGATCGCGCCGTATTGTCGATGCTTCGGCGGCCGCGGCACGACGTGGAGCCCGATTTTCTTCACGCAGCCTCGCCGATGCATCGCCGATGTCGGCGAAGCGTCGCCGATGCATCGGCGATGTATCGCCGATGTACGGTCCAGTGTCTGCCCCCTCCCACCAGATGGCATGGTGTCCAGCCCCCATGATTGGTGCCCCCCCCCTGTGGTGTGCTGTGATGTGGTGTGGTAGGTGGCACGTGCGTGCGTGCTTACGTGCGTGTCCCCCCGCCCCCCCTGTGGGTGTGGCGTGGTGTGGTGGTGTGGTGGTTTGCGCGCGTGCGTGCGTGCGTACTTGCGTGTCCCCCCGCCCCCCCCCCTGGGTGTGGCGTGGTGTGGTGGTGTGCTGTGGTGTGGTGATTTACGCACGTGTGTGCGTGTCCAACCCCCCTTTGGGTGTGGTATGGTGTGCTGCGTGGTGGTTGTGTGTTTGCGTGTGTGCGCATGCGTGTGTGCGCGTGCGCGCTTGCGTGCGTGTCTCTGGCGTAGTCGTCAGCAAAGGCAGCGCCGTCATCGTCGTCGTCTTCACTGTCGTCGTCGTCGCCGTCGTCGTCGTCGTCGTCGTCTTCGCAGTCGTCGCCGCCGCCGTCGTCGTCACCGTCGTCGTCGTCATCTTCCCCGTCGTCTTCGCCGTCGTCGTCGCCCCAGACCCCCCCATGCCATCTCTGGGGGGGGGGGGGAACGTGGGAACCCTGGGGCGCGTGCCATCTGGGGGGGGGACGTGGGCACCCGACACCCTGGATCGTGCAGCGGCGACTCGGCGCCACCCTCCGACCCCATCTGCTCGGACCCCCCCTCTCGGGAGGCCTCTGCGGAGGCAGGGCCGCGGTCGGGCGAGGGGGGCGCAGAGCGCCTCCGGCGCGGAGAGGTGCGGCCTCCGGGAGCGTCTCCCCACCCGGTGCAGCGCTTCGTGGCCCCTGGGAGCTCCACCGAAGACGATGCCCAGAGCTGCGGTGCTCACAACTGCATACAGTGGGCCTTGATTAGTAGGTCGACCCTGCCAAGTCCAGGGTGCCCCTGTGTCCTGTCTTTCGAGACCCGTGCCCTCCGCGTTCCTGTGGCAGCGTAGCCCTCGGAAGGCTCTTTTTGTCCTCTCGCGTGCCCTCGCCAATCAGGCCCCACTGCAGCATAGGGGTGGGTTCTTCGCCAGGCGGGTGTCTTACTCTTTCTGCAGGGCCGGGCAGCACAGCCTGTGCCAGCCCCGGCACAACCGGCACGATCTCTCTCTCTCTCGCCCTCTCTCTCTCACCCTCTGCGCCTGCTCCGAGGGTCGCCTGTCTATGTCACCGTTTCTCGCTCTACGCTTCGATTTTCGCCTCGCCACAGCTTGCCTGGATAAACAAGGGGGGATTTGGGAGCCTATCTTAGGCGTCACAGCTTGCCTGGATAAACAAGGGGGGATTTGGGGGGTGGCGAAGGTAACAACCGGCTTAGCTGATGACTGCGGCCTGGCAGGCGCATGCTCCAAGGTCTGATGTCCCCGTACTAATTTTGCGTCTCGTCGCCCTTCCTCCTCTTGTTGCGCCCGCCAGGCCAGGCCGAATTCGCTTGCGCTTCGCCTCAGTCGGCATTATGCATGATGCTTGCCATCACGTTAACGCTCCTTGCTGTTGCATTAAGTCCGCGCGCCGTCAAAGACGAGGAGGCGGGGGAGGAACAACGTGGGTCGTTGGCCTTTGGCGAGCCGCTTGGCGCACGGGGCCGCAATCCCTGGCCCGCTGGATGCCCTCTGACGTCGCGCATCCGATTGGGAACAGAGAGTCGGTAAGCAGCGGGGTGAGGTGGAGGATGAGCACAGCTAGCACTGGCACGAGGTCCTCAGGCCTTAATGATTCTGCTCCAATCGATGTGCGGGGACCAAGCTAGACGAATCGAGGAACATCGGCGGAGGTCGATGTAGTTCCAGATACGGCGTGGTAAGCCCACATCAATACAGATGAAGGTGGAACATCTCGTGGAAGCTCTGAATAGAGCGAGTCGAGGGACGGTACAAGTAGTTAGGCCCTCAACGAACAAGGGTTCAGAACACACCTAGACTCGGAGAGGTACCCTCGTGTTCTTTCCGCCTTGGAGTGCTCCCGCCTTGGGCTTCGGGCGAATGAACTCGTGTTCTTAGCCAGCTTTCTTACCGCCACGTTTCGACAATACTCGGGGGATAATGCATAAGCGTAATGCCAGATGTAGGATTGAACAAATTGGAGGTATGAGGCTTTGGACAAGGATTAACATGAACACGATGCGAGATGGAGGCCTCCTGTGCAGTCCTGGGGGGCGTTTTGTGGGTTCGCTTTCCTTTTTTTGTTTTCTCACCGAGGTGAGACTGCTGCCCGCACTGTGGGGCATGAGGTGGGAGCATGAGGAGAAGGGAAAAAGGTAGAGGATGATGACGACGTCGAAGAAGAAGCATCTGCGCAACCATCAATCTGTGAAGCTCCGTGCGGGTCTCTTGGTGCGGCGCTGGACCCGCCTGGCGGCGCCTCCGGGGTCGGCACGCGCCAGGGGAGGGGGGCCCAGCGCCGACCCGGGAATCCGCGCGGGGCCCCGAAGATTGATGCGCTTGTGGGCGTTTTCTTCTTCATTGTTCTGCCACCGATCGGCGCGGGCCCTCGCCCCCCCCCTCCCCCCCCCATGGAGTAGATCTTGGCTGTTTTGGGCGCCTGTTTCGAGCAGGTGGGGTCCCCCCATCGGCCGCACTGCTGCAAACAGCTGCACGGAGCAGAGGTCCGGAGAGCCAGACCCGTCCCTCTCCCCCTCTTTCCGCCCAATGTCGAGACGCCGAATAAAAAAAACGCTCGCCTTGTGCCCTGTCTTCTCTCGGCGGCCAGCCCGGGAAGGAAATGAGAGGGGGCGGGCCTTCTCACAAGGCTCGGAAGCACCCCGGTCTTCGTCTTAGACGGCTTCTCCAAGCCTTCCCCGAAGGCGCAGGAAGCTGTTCAGATGGCCGGAGGGCCTCTGAGAAGCCCCGCCGCCTTCTGAGAGGGCCTTCTCCTTCTCACTCCCCCCTCCCCTCGCTCGCCGCCGACTCGCGGCAGCGAGGCTCTGGGTCTCCACCGTCGCGGGGGCCGTCCTCGAGCCCTTCGGGCTCGGCGGCCTCGACGCGTACATGGCGCCCGACAACGAGACGGTGGGGCGCGGGGGGGCAGCCGATCTGCCTCTCCGCGTGTCGTCGGGGGGGGGGGGGGAGATCGGAGGAATCGAGCCTGGCAGGGCACTTTGTAAGTCCGCAGGTCTAGGCCTCCTGGATGGGGTCCGAGGAGATGGGTCGGAGGATCGCGCCGTATCGCCGATGCACCGACGATGTAGCTCGATGTGGAGCTCGACTTGCCCCACGTCGACGCATCGCCGCTGTCGCCGATGCATCGCCGATGCATTGGCGACGTCGGCGAGATCCCCCGACCACATCTACTCGGGCCCCTATCAAGGAGGCCTTTCGCAGGCACAAGGTTGTGCGGGACGTGCCGCCGGGCAGAGCGAGCGGTGGGATGCACCGGAAGCAAAGAGAACGGCACGAAGCGAAGGAGCAAGAGAGGGAGAGAGAGCGAGGAGGAAGGGACGGTTTAGGTCGGGCATGTCCTCCTACAGGCGCATCTTGGAAGAAAGAGGAAGAATATTCAAACACTACTCGGCAATAGTCAAAAGTAGTCGACACATCGTCCCCCGATACTTCTTCTCACGATCTTCTACTTTTCTCTCTGTAGAGGGACACGCCCGACTTCAAGGGAAGGTGCGGGGCCTGGACAGGCCATGCAGGTAGACGCGGGAGAGTGCCAGGGTGCATGCAGCTGCGCACGAGCACGGGGGGGGCCCTGCGGAGCACACGCCGCCGTGGGTGCTGCTTTTTTCGGTGGAGCTCCCCGCGGGGCCACGGAGAGTCGGCCGGGGCAGGGTGAGGGTCGAGGGCGTCGAGGGTTGTGGGAAATGAGAGGTGAAGTCGGGCCTGCCCCCCTACAGGAGGAATCTCCGAAACAGCCAAATCTCCGGTTGGTGGCTATTGGTGAATCTTGCTAGACTGCCCCTTCTTTCTCGCCCAACATCCGCCTGTAGGGGGACGCGCCCGACCGCTCGTCTATGGGCACGGACCTCCTGGCCTGGGGCAGGAGAGCGTATGCACCACGCGGGGGCCCAAGGTGGCCCTGGCCAGCCACGGTGTCGGACGGGGCCAGGGCGAGGAATGATCTGTCCCAGAGCGTTCTGGAACGCTCTCAGAGCGCCACGGAACGCTCTGAGAAGGCCGTGGCGCCGGGTGCAGCCTCCAGAGCCGCTGGATCTCAGAGACCCCCGATTCTCCCGCATCCGAATCTGTCCTCGTCCTGGCTTCATCTAAACAGGGATGACGTTGCCCCTGACAACTGAGGGACGCAAAACACGGGATCGTCTTCGCCGACATTGGCGCGTAAGCTGCCTGCGTAGGGTTGCGCGTAAGCGCACTCGTCTCCAACGCGGCATGCCGCGCTGGCGGCCCGCGTAAGTTGCGGCGTAAGGTCGCTATGCCATTTCGCGTAAGACCCGCTTTTGGATCGTCGCTCAACTGCGACTACTCTGGATGTGTTGTTTGTTCTTGTTTATCAAGGGGGGTGATTCACCTCCCGACTGAGCTTGCCCAATCACGTCCCCCTCCATTCTCCTCCCCCTCCTCATCCTCCTCCTCTTCCTCCTCCTCCTCCTACCCCTCCTCGTCCTCCTCCTCCTCCTCCTCCTCCTCCTCCTCCTCCTCCAACCCCCCCTCCACCCGTTCCACCAGCACGTGCCCAACCCCCCCAGGCCGACCCAAAGGGGGGGACGGTTATCGCCCCATCTTCAGCTGTGCACGGCGCAGCAGGGCCGGACCTATGGACGTTGTCTTGCCGGACTCCGGCTGTGCTCCTCTTCCTCCCCCTCCTCCTCCTTTTCTCCTCCTCCTTTTCCTCCTCCTCCTCCTCCTCCTCCTCCTTTTCCTCCTCCTCCTCCTCCTCCTCCTCTCTCCTCCTCCTCCTCTCCTCCTCCTCCTCCTCCTCCTCCTCCTCCTCCCCCTCTCCCTCCCGCTCTTCCCCCCCCCCCCCCTTTTGCGTACAGGAAAAGGTCGGCAAAAGTAATAGTTTTTGTTGATCATTGTTTTGCCGACCGGCGCGGGCCCCCGAACCCCCCTTTCCTCCCCCATGGAGTAGATCTTGGCTGTTTTTGGGGCGCCTGGCTCAGGCAGGTGGAGCCTCCCCCATGATGGACGCACTGCTGCAAACAGTCGCGCTAAGCAGAGGTCTGGAGCCAGACCCCCCCCTCCCCCCCTTTTGCCAAATGTCGAAACGCCGAACAAGAACACGCTCACCAAAACGAAGCACGAAACGACAACGAGACGAAACGCAACGCTCAGGTCCAGCCCTGCGGTGCATCGCCCGCCGCCTCTGCGGCGCGCGCCGCCTCTCTGTGCGCCTCCGTGCCCGCGGCAGGCCGGGCGGGTGCACGCCCTGCGCCCTGGGGGGCAGCTCGCCACGCGTCGGCGGCGCGAAGCCCGCGAGGATGGCGCCCGGATAGCGCTCTGAGAGCTGAGATACTTGGCCTCCTGGGTGGGGTCGGAGTAGACGGGGTCGGAGGATCGCGCCGCATCGGCGATGCATCGCCGATGCGGCTCGATGAGGAGCCCGACTTGCTCCACGCTGGCGCCGCCGATGCATCGCCGACGTCGCCGATGCATCGCCGGGGCATCGCCGATGCATCGCCGGTGCATCGCCGATGTATCGCCGATGTGGCGGGATCCTCCGACCCCATCTACTCCGAACCCCATCTAGGAGGCCTCTAAAGATCCCTAAAGGCTTGTCGACTTTTCGCCAATCGGCTTGTGGGGATCGAGCCAGAGAGATCCAGCTAGGTGCAGATAAATCAAGGTACATTCAGGTAGATCCAGAGATAGCCAGGGAAAGTTGTAGCAACTCGCGGCCGCTCCAGCGCGAGGCGAAGGACGGCAGACATCGGTAAGCCTTCAACGGTAAGAGGGTTTCATATCAAGAAGCCGGAGCCGCAGGGTATCCCCGGAGGTCGTTCCGGTTTCCGTGAAAAATCCCCGGAGTGCTCTGCTTGAGATGCTAACGTGTCCCGACAGGCTTTTTCTAAGCGTTTCCCCATACGCGTGCCTGGAAGCTCTCCAGAAGGACCTTCGGAAGCTCTCTCCAGGTCCTTCCAGGGTTCTTCGGCAGGCCTGCCCACGTTCTTCGGGCGCCCTGCTGCTCTGGGTGTGGGACCCAACAAGTGCCGGAATGAGTAGACGCTGGTCGTTGAGCGTGGGCAGTTCTCTTGGCATCGTTCGGACGTGTGCATTTTTCTCGGCGAGGACCATCGGGGAGCCTCTTTCAGGAGGAGAAAATATACACGGACACAATTAATCATAGATTCCCCAGAAAATATTGGAAAACATGGGGAATCGTATTATTTGTATCTATTTATGTATGTGTCCCAAGGCCCCTTCAATCTTGCCTCACTTGGTGAAAGATGAGAGCACGGAGTCGACAAGCGCGCGGGGAGAGAACGTCCGAGCGGTGGTGAGTTCTGGGCTCCCAGGTCCCAGGCCACTTCAAGAACCATTCTACTTGAAGAGTCGATATTTGTTTGCTGTTTGTTGCAATTTTTGGGCGGGCCCGAACACAATATACTTTTCGAGTAGGGGATCGGCTACAGAATGCATCTGCCCCAACATTGATCTGTCCGTCGAATCTACGCCACATGCGTAACATGCTCGCAAGCCTATACGAATGTTGCTCGCATTTGCTTGCACACTCGACGAGGAAATCAATTTTGCGGGATGCTCCACTTTTGTGGTCGATCCCCCGCTCGAACTTGGGCCGCATTCCTACTTCGCGTTTCTGCCGACAGCGCCGGTTTTAATACATGCTCCGCGTGCGGATCATGTATTACAAATGCAGGGACTTAGTATTAAAAAACAACGATGAGTTCATGCATACATTCATTCATACATTAATCATGTATTGAAAATCATATGTTAAAACATCCTATGTATTAGAAGCTGCCATGTGCTTCTCCCGACCTGGCGGGTGCACGGAGGGCAGAGGCAGGATGGAGGACGGGGCATCTCGGGGGGGGGGGGGGGGGGAGCGGGCGCGGGCCGCGGGCTCTCCGAGACGGGGGCCCACAGCACAGCATGGCCGGGGGCAGCGCGGCAGAGGCACGGACTCTCGGCGGTCCGCGCGGGTTCCCGCGCCTTCTCCTCCCCCTCCTCCTCCCTCCTCCTCCTCTCCTCCTCCTCCTCCTCCTGCTCCTCCTCTCCTCCTCCTCCTCCTCCCCCTCCTCCTCCTCCTCCTCCTCCTCCTCCTCCTCCTCCTCCTCCTCCTCCTCTCCTCCTCCTGCTCCTCCTCCTCCTCCTCCTCCTCTCCTCCTCCTCTCCTCCTCCTCCTCCTCCTCCTCCTCCTCCTCCTCCCCTCCTCCTCCTCCTCCCCTCCTCCTCCTCCTCCTCACCCTCCTCCTCGCGGGTGGCCGGAGTAGCTGAGTAGCTTTTCTTTCGACTTCAGGCGTGAGAGTGGCTTTTCGCCAGAGTGACCGCTGGTGCGGGCCCAGCGAGGTCCCCCGACAGCCCAGCGCGAAGCGGTAGCAGCGGCTTGCGCGCCGGGTATTGGCCACCCCGCCCCATCCAGTCGCGCACCAAGGGTCATTCTTGCCTGGGGTCACCCTTACGTGATGGGCAAGCTTTCCACCACCGCTACCATATGTAGCACGGGAGAGAAGGGAGGATGAGGCGGTCCTCCTCCTCCTCCTGCTCCTCTCCCCCCTCCTCCTCCTCCTCCTCCGCATTATCATCATCCTCCCCCCCCCCCTCCTCCTCCCCCTCCTCCTCCTCGTGCATCTGGTAGTTTTGGTTGTGGTTGAAAAGGGGCCCATCATCGCGTGGGGCCTGCTCTCCGGTGCGGCAGTGGCCTGAGCACGGGCTCTCGGTGGTACGCGCAGGGTATCTGTGCACCCCCCTCGCTTGCGGAGAAGAGCGAGAGGTTGGCGCCGCGACTCCACGCAGTGCCCCCCCCCCCATGCAGTGGTTGCTCCCCTGCGCTGCCCCAACTGGTGGGCTTCGTGTCCACCGCCACCGCCACAAGTAGGAGGGAGTGGAGGTTCTCCTCCTCCTCCTCCTCCTCCTCCTCCTCCTCCTCTTCGTCCTCCTCTTCCTCCTCATCCTCCAGCTCCTCCCCCCATCCAACTCATGGTGGTGGTGGTGGTGGTGGTGGTGGAAAACAGGCCCATCACCTCTGTGTTGTCCGCAGGTGTTGCCCTCGTGTGCCGCCCCCGAATGCCGTTCCCGTGCAGTGCCCCCGAGTGCTGCCCCCAGAGACCAAAACCTCCATCAAGCCACGCACGCAGGGAAGAAGTGAGGATGCCCGGGGCCTCTCACATTGCATCTACACCAGTCGGTTGTTGAGGGTAGGTATTGTTGGACTCCCAGATCCCAATCTGCTTCAAGCGCCTTCCTACTTCAAGAAGCGATCTGAGTTTGCTGTGTGTTGTTATTCCCTGTGAGGGTCTAAGCCCACTCTACTTGATCCGCCCCTTCCTACTTTCTTCCTCTTTTACCTACTTCTTCCGACCGATGGGTATCAAACGTAGCACGAAGGCTGCCCCTGAGCGTGCACTTTCTGTCGTCCGCGTGGATGACTTTGATCGGCACTGGATCCCTGGGCCAGGGAGGCATCCAGAGCCGATCCAAGGAGTCCGCGTGGGCGTCCCAAAGTATGCTATCATGTGGTTGCTCCGTCTGCAGGAGAGGGGCGGCGACGCGAGGACAGCGAGGTCGGAGGGAGCCGTAGGAGGGAGATGTCGATGCTTCTGGCGGTGGTGCTGGGCCTCCCTATCGGTGCCTTGTCAACACAGGGTGGACTCGTGTCGGAGTGCCGGTCAGGACGCGCTCTGGGAGAGGCCAGCTTGCCGTTTCGGAGGGGTAGTGGCTGAGGAGGAGTATTACCAGCTATCCCTATGCCGGGCATCTCCTCATCACGATGCCATTCTTAGGGATTCCCTTATTTTTTGAAGGCGAATCCCTAAGATTGTCATCGCATTTTGGCGTGTCGTTTTTAGGGATAGGGATAAGTTCGAGGCTGGTAAGATAAGGAGGAGTAGGAAGTATCAGACGAAGTGGGACGATGGGAGAGGAGGAGTATAGATCGGGGGAAGGGCTGCCGGAGACGCCTGCCGAGGTGTAGCGCCACCATCTGTCCTTGTGGGAGCGCAAGGAGGGCCTTTCTGGAAGATGGTCGGCCTAAAACTCGCTCGACCCTGGTGGTTGAGTGTTGATTCCACTAAGTTTTGCTGGCCAGATTGGGGGAGTTCATGGGGGTCCGAAGTGAAGGACTGTCTTGGGGCCTTCTTGGACTGTCATTGGGCTTTCTTGAGCCATCTTGGGGCGCTCTAGGGCCGGCGAGGCCGTCTTGGGGGTCTTTTGGGGTAGTCTGGGAGCCATCTTGGGGCCCTCCTGAGCCATCCTGGGGCCCTCTTGGGCAGTGTAGAGCCCTCCCGGGAGCCCCTTGGGACGTCTTGGTTGATTGCCCTGTTAGGGCGTCTTGGGGGAGGCAGCTGGGCTGTTCTGAGGCCGCGTTGGGCCCGCCCTTGAGCCGTCTTGGCAGGATCGCGGGTCATTTTAGATATCTTGGGCGGACTTGGAGGAGCCTAAGAGGATATATTCGGGCGACGTGCTGACGAGATGTGGATTCGCCGAGGTCTCCGGCTGCGAGCGGCGGATTGGGTCGAAGGGCCGGTGGGAAGTTTTTGTTTTGCTAGTTTTGGCAGCGTTTCGAAGATTCGGCACATGACTCACCACTTCGAGGAAGTAAACGGCATAAACAAAACACAGACTTTCTGCGCTCCGTGGCGAGTCGGGCTGGTTGGAGGTCGGGATGCGCGCTTGCATCAGTCTGGGTTCGGGGAGGAGTATCCTGCGACGCCAGACGTGCCTCTGAGCGAGGGCGCTCTGGTAGCAGCGGGGGGGCACGGCAGGAGGCGTGGCGGACGCAGCTGCGAGGCCGG